TCATCACTGAGGATGCCACACACCCGCTGTTTGGCTCCTTCTCTCTGCTGCCATCAGGAAGGAGATACCGAACCCCGCTGGCCCGAAAAAACATCAACAAAAGATCATTTAGACCAGTGACTGCAGATGGGACAAACAACCGGTAGCACTGTATAAATTATGAAATGTATTTTTCTTATGTGTTTGAAATGTATTTTATGTGTGTTTTATGAATGATCATGAATCGTGCCGTGTTGAAAGACAAATCTCTGCTCAATTTGAACAGACAATAAAGATCTATTCTATTCTATTCTATTCTATCTCCTTTAATCATTATAAGGTCAGGCCCTGCCGTTCCCAGCTTGAAAGACCGCAGGCGTCGTTCTTTGTACACCGTCCAACCTTTGATTTTTGCTTTACTTTGCATATTCCGTATATGTTGTTATGATTGGTCATCCTCTGTGCCTTCATTGCGGGGCACAGACTCACTATGGATTAGTGTTTCATCTCCGTTCCCACACAATCTGCACGTCTTCGGTACCTCCTTGTTTAGGGGGGTACCCATACAAGGGATCGTTGACGAGCGGAGCTTCAATGCGGTTATGACTCACTAAATCCCACTTCTCTGGGGCTTCTAATCCAAGAGTTCGATGTCATGTCCTTATGGAAGCATTCAACTCCCATCCCCTGCCATTTCATCCTCTTCCAGTTTCCGTATTCCTCTTCCTTTAGTTTATTTGAGGATAGTAGTTTTGGGTCAATTTTGTCCATCCTCCAATTGTTCCACCTAGAGTCTTCTGTAGCTTTCTCATCTTTCCTTTGATATCCATCAGTTCCGCGACTTCATTCGTGAGGGGATCATGTCCGTTTACTAGCTTCAAAAATCTTTTTAATTGCATGGCTGGCACCAAATTTCCCAGCCTTGGTACATTCAGGCCTCCATTTCTGAAGCTTGAGTAAATCAAACCGTTTGTTACAAAGCTCAACAAGCTTAACCACCTTTTTACAACATTCCTTATCAGTCCATCAATTGCTTTCGGTGCTGGTGCATTGAAAGCAATTGATGGACTGATAAGGAATGTTGTAAAAAGGTGGTTAAGCTCCAGTTTCTGGCTTGGTTTGAGGGGGGCCGCATCCAGGTCACGAACCCAGCCCTCAAGTTTCGGGATGATTTCTGGTTTCATTACACCCCTGAATGGGGAAAACTCCATACCCAGATATAACACCGTCTCAGCTGATGAGACCAGCTTCAGTTTTGTGCCATTCAGGGTCCATTGTGGACAGTGGTTGAGTTTAGGTTTCCTTCGTTCAGTGGACGGCCAAAAGCCCGAGCATTTGTCCGGGTTGGAGAGGAGTCCTGTTTGTAAGGTGAAAGAAACCAGCACTTCCAGGTTTCTTTTTATCCCCTCCCAAGTGTCGCTCAGCAGAACTAGGTCGTCTTCCTGTATCCGGTGAGCGTGTTTCTTGACTGCTATCACTCTGCTCTCTGTTTGCACTAACAAACACATTACAAATCCACGTATTGTACACCAAGCTAACTGTGTAAGCACTCCGAGTCAGCTGTACTGCAGCTGAGGTTTAGGTAGCGGTTGTTTGTCTGGTCTCGGAGTCTGTTGTGCGGGCCCGGATCCGTACTAGCTTAGCCTAGCCTAGCCTAGCTTAGCCTAGCCGCTAACTCGCTACTATGGCGGCTGCTGTCTCTCCCTCAATCCTTTACTGCTCGAGTTGCCATATGGCGAGTCTAAACCCTGGATCCTTCTCTGAGGGTAGTGATAGATGTGTGAAGTGTAGTGTAGTCGTAGCTCTGGAATCCAGGGTCAGTGAGTTAGAGCTGCGTCTCCGAGCACTGGAGTCTCGAGCTAGCGCTAGCATTAGCTACAGCCAGGCCGTATCCTCAGGGACAGCGGAGCGCAGCTTTAGGGAAAGGCAGAGGAGAACTAGCGAGCCTAGCCTCCCAGCCCGTCCTCCGCAGCTGGGACAAGACCAGGATAGTGATGGCTTTGTGACTGTTCGGAGAGGGCGACGTGTTGTTGGTAGTTTCCCCATTGGGCCTCCTCCTGTTAGCATTTACAATCGCTGGGACGCTCTGTCCGGCTGCGCCCCCGCGCGGCCGGGCAGGGAAGAAGGCCCCACTGAGAGAGCCGTTGAGAGAGCTGCTGAGAGAGCCGATGGAGTCGCTGATGCGCTGGTAATTGGCTCCTCTATTGTTAGAGGTGTTAAGATCCCAGGAGCCACTGTTCGGTGCTTCCCTGGGGCCAGGCTTGGTGATATTGAAGGGAATCTGAGGCTCATGATGACCCACAAGCAGCGTTTCCGTCGAATTGTTATTCACGCGGGTGGTAATGACGTTCGGCGGAAACAGTCCGAGGTGTTGAAGCTGCAAGTCGCCGCCGTGTGCAAGCTGGCTAGCACAATGGCCGACACTGTCATCTTCTCTGGGCCCCTACCTAGCACTAGCAGTGCAGAAGCATTCAGCAGACACTCGGCTTTCAACCGCTGGCTGTCTGGCTGGTGCCCTCGAAGTGGTGTTGTTCATGTTGACAATTGGAGTGCCTTTTGGGGAAAGCCCGGTCTCATCCGCTCGGATGATATCCACCCAACGTTGGCGGGTACATCCCTTTTGGCTAAGAATTTGGCCCTGGCTCTAAACTGTTCTGCTCGGCTCAAATGACGATGCAGAACTGAGGCCCGGGTGCAGAGCTGCTCTGCCACAACCTCTGAGCCCCCATCTGTTCAGTTACTAGCCTCAGAAGCTAGTCAGATTGAAACTGTGTGTGCATGTATGTGTATGCCTGTGTGTGCTCAGTTACTAGCCTCAGAACCTAGTCAGATTGAAACTGTGTGTGTTCCCCGCTTGAAGTCTAAAGCACTATATGCGAGGAAATCTGACCTAGGTGTCAGACACAGTAACTTAATAAAAGTTCAGACAGACAGAAATAGTTCTAGCGGTAGGGTTGTTAAATGTGGTTTAATGAACGTCAGATCAATCTCGTCTAAATCGCTTCTCATAAACGAACTTATTATAGACAAGGGCTTGGATCTGTTTGCGCTCTCGGAGACTTGGCTCCAACAGGACAGTGCACTCCTCCGACGCATGTTAACTACCAGAAAGCCAGAACTACAGGTCGCGGCGGTGGTGTTGCGATTATATCACACACCAACTTGGTTCTTAGTCCCAAAACCAACAACGCTTTTCACTCGTTTGAAAACTTAACACTTTCAATCACCTGTCCTGGGTGGAGAAAACAAAAAGCAGTACTATTTATAGTTTTATACCGACCTCCTGGTCCTTACAGCGAGTTCCTAACAGAATTCTCTGACTTCATTTCAAACCTAGTTTTGGAATGGGAAAACATAGTTATAGCTGGAGACTTCAATATACATGTGGACGACAGCACTGACAGCTTAAACAAAGCTTTCAGCGCCGTACTAGATGGTGTTGGTTTTACTCAGAATGTCGAGGAACCTACTCACATTCATAACCACACCTTGGACCTTGTCCTGACCTACGGCTGTGATGTCTCCAATGTTGACATCCAGCGTCAAAGCTCGTTGCTGTCTGACCATTTCTTGATCACGTTTGATCTCGCTTTGGAGGACTTTCCTGTCCCGCAAGATAAAACCATAATGAAAAGAACCTTAAATGATAAATCTATCACAAGGTTCAAAGAACTAATACAGCCTATGTTGAATACTGCTGCAGGTGAACCTGTTCACAGCAGCTGCAGTCCCTCAGTCATTGACCAAACGGTGGGCAACACTATGGAGTCTTTAAAATCTGCATTAAATGCAGCAGCTCCTTTAAAACAGAAAACCATTAGGATTAGATCATCGTCGCCCTGGTACAGTGTTCAACTCCACACTTTAAAACAGGACGTCAGAAAATTGGAGAGGCTATATCGCCACTCCCACTCGGAGCCTGTCCACAGGGAGTGGAAAGCAGGTCTCCGAAACTACAAGAAGGCCCTTCGCGGGGCTCGAACTCAATACTATTCAACTTTAATAGAAGCGAATAGAAACAACAGTAGATTTTTGTTTGGCACCGTCGCTAAACTCACAAACTGCCATAGCGCAATCGAGCCTAAAATTCCAAGCTCACTGAGCAGTGTCGACTTTCTCCACTTCTTTAATAATAAAATTACATCCATCCGTGACAAGCTGGAGGAGGTTGCTCCTGCTGTTAGTGGTGGACAGGTTGAAGCGGCATACGTGACTTCCCACTTAGACTCTTCAGTGGGCCTCGATAAATTCATGGCTGTGAGCCAAGCAGAGGTGATCTCTGTGGTCACATCCTCAAAAGCCTCAACTTGCATGTTAGACGCAGTCCCGACATGGCTCTTCAAAGACATACTTCCTTTGATAATTGAGCCTATCGTAAATATAATAAACGCATCCATACAATGTGGCTATGTCCCACAAGCTTTTAAAACCGCGGTAATCAAACCCCTTCTGAAGAAAACAAACCTGGACCCAGAAATACTTACAAACTACAGACCGATCTCAAACCTCACTTTTATATCTAAAATCCTGGAAAAACTTATAGCTGAGCAGCTCCGCTGCCACCTGCAGGAAAATAATATGTTTGAAGTCTTTCAATCAGGATTCAGAGCTCATCATAGCACTGAAACGGCACTAGTCAAAGTCACAAATGACTTACTACTAGCTGCCGATAATGGACAAGTGTCAGTGCTGGTCCTACTGGACCTTAGTGCTGCATTTGACACAATAGACCACAGCATTCTACTGCAGAGGCTAGAATGTGATATAGGTCTTAGAGGAACAGCCCTTGGCTGGTTTAAATCCTATTTATCAGATCGATATCACTTCGTCAATGTGAATCAGGACTCGTCGCCTTATTCTGGAGTGGAATTCGGTGTGCCGCAGGGTTCGGTACTCGGACCGATTCTTTTTACTCTCTACATGCTGCCACTGGGAAACATTATTAAAAAGCATGGAATTAATTTCCACTGCTATGCAGATGACACACAGCTTTATCTGTCGATGAAGCCTAACCAGACAGATCAGCTAGCTAGTCCGTCTTTTCCCCCCCCCCGCCCCCCCCCCCCCCCCCCTGTCCCCAGCCCCCCCCCCCCCCCCCCTCCCCCCCCCCCCCGCCCTCCAGGCCCCCCCCCCCCCCCTCCCTCCCCCCCCCCCCCCCCCCCCCCCCTGCCCCCCCCCGCCCTCCCCCGCCCCCCCCCCACCCGCCCCCCCCCCCCCCCGCCCCCCCCCCCCTCCCCCCCCCCCTCTCCCCCCCCCCCCCCTCCCCTTCCCCCCCCCCCCCCCCCCATGTTTGTGTCCTCCTCCGCCCCCCCCCCTATCCCCCCCCCCCCCCCCCCTCCTCCCCCCCCCCCCCCCCCCCCCTCCCCCCGCCCCCTCCCTCCCCCCCCCCTCGCCCCTCCCCGACCCCCTTCCTCCCCCCGCCCCCCCCCCCCCCCCCCCCTTCCCCCCCCCCCCCCCAGCTTCCCCCCCGCCCCTCCACCCCCCCCCCCCTCCCCCCCCCCCCCTCCCCCTCCCCCCCCCCTACTCCCCCCCCCCCCCCTCCCCGCCCCCCTCCCCCCCCCCCCCCCCCCCCCCCCCCCCCCCCCCCTCCCCCCCCCCCCCCCCCCCCCTACCCCCCCCTCCCCCCCCTCCCCCCCCCCCCCCCCCCCCCCCCCCCCCCATTTTCCCCCCCTTGTCCCCCCACCCTCCAACCCCCCACCCTTTCTTCCGGTCCCCCCCCCCCCCCGCCCTCCCTCCCCTCCCCCCCCTTCCCCCCCCCCCCCCCCGTTCCCCTCCCCACCCCCCAACCACCCTCCCCCCCCCTCACCGCCCCGCCACCCCCCCCCCCCCGTCCCTTTCCCCTCCCCGCCCCCCCCCCCCCCCCCTCCCCCCCCCCCCCGCCTCCCGCCCCCCCCCCCCCCGCTCTCCCCCCCCCCCCCTCGCCCCCGCTCCTTCCCCCACCCCCCCCTCCCACCCGCTTTTTTCCCCCCCCCTCTCCCTCCCACGCCCCCACCCCCCCTCCCCCCCACCCCCCCCCATTCGCCCCCCCCAGCCCCCCCGACTCCCCCCCCTCTCCCCCACCCCCCCCGCCCCCTCCCCCCCCCCTTCCCCCCTCCCCGCCCCCCTCCGCCCCTACCCCTCCCCCCCCCCCCCCCCCATTTCCCCCCCCCCCCCTCCCCCCCCCCTCCCGTATTCCCCCCCCCTTCCCCCCCCTCCCCCCGTTCCCCCCCCCCCCCCCCCCCCCGCCACTCCACTCCCTCCCTCTTCCCCTTCCCCCCCCCCCCCCCACCCTACCCCTCCGCCCCCCCCCACCCCCCCTCCTCCTCCACCCACCCTCCCCCACCCCGCCACTCCCCCCCGCCCGCAATTTGTGAAGTCCCTCCCCCCCCCCCCCCCTCCGCCCGGCCCCCCCCGCCCCCCCCACCCCCCCCCCTCCCCCCCACCACCCCCCCCCCCCCCCCCCCCCCACCCAAATTTACTACTATTGGAGTAATACTTGACCAGTAGGAAATTATAGTTTCAGTGCATGTTAAAGCGTATCTCCCTCGTTGAAAAAAAGTTTAGAGTTGTATCTCAGTTGATTTACTATTTTGAGCAATCTTGTTACATTAAAACACAATTGTCATTGACATTTTCATGAAGTTACTAACCACCATTACTTCCCGAGTGATGGTTAAGACAGACAGCTAAAGAGAATGTCATGTTTAAAGCTGTAATTGTTGCTGTTTGAATAAATAAATAAATCTTACATCATGGTTGTGTTTTTTTCTGTATTAACACATATGGTCCACGCTTTAGATTAGGGTACTGCAAAATAGTGTAATAAGCAGCTTATTAACACATTTACAAGCATATTGTTAGTGGCCTACTAACATGGTATCGATAATAGTTTAATAAGCAGCAACGAGAATGTGTAACAGGAACTGCTGAGTCTGCACAAGTGTCACTGATAATTCACTAGTAACTTTGTCACTAGTCACTTTACCTGTTATCAGTACTACTGCATTATTACATATCTGATATTTACTGTTATCAGTACTACTGCATTATTACATATCTGATATTTACCTGTTATCAGTACTACTACATTATTACATATCTGATATTTACCGTTTTCAGTACTACTGTATTATAACATATCTGATATTTACTGTTTTCAGTACTACTGTATTATTACATATCTGATATTTCTGCCTTTCACCGTCACTTTACCTGTTGATATTATTTGTGATGTTTATTCTGCTCATATTCTCCGCTGCTAATGTATAATATAGACATCTGTAAATACTCCGAACCAAGTGCAATTATAGCCCAGAGTTGATCTTATTTTATTTTATCTCAAATTTATTGTCTATTATCTTAAATAATAGACTTTGATGTGTGCAATCTGAGTGCTCTTATTTCCTTTCTCTGCTGTAATGTGCAACGATGACACTGAAGTTTCACTGTGAGACTAATAAAGGTTTATCTTATCTTATCTTATTCATATATGTATAAACATATTGCTCCTGTAATAAGTATCTTACGAATTAATAAATGCTTAAAAGCATATAACTTACATAATAGTGAAATGCCTATTAAGCACATACCTTAAGCATTAATGCCTATTAATACCTTATTAATACTTAAAGAGGCTATATGGAAGTTTCACCACATATAAAACTATACAGAATTAAAATTTCTTCCACATACATTCTCCAGCAATGCCTTGGTGTGTAGAATGAGCCCTTGCATTTTCATTCCTATTGCCTCTATATGCCTAAAAACATGTCTTTATCTGCTTGGAATTTGAGGATTCGGGTCGAAACCATCCAGGGCAGCGTGATGCGTAATGACGTCATGCGCGTTCACGCTAAGCTGTAGCAGCGATAGCTACTTGTGTTATTAGTGCATCTGCAGAGCGAGAGGTGGCTGTGGGAGGATGGATACAGCGAAGAACAACAAGAGACCGGCTTCAAGCAGCGCCGAAACTCCAGCAAAGACCCAAACTAAAGCAAAGAAACGGAAAATTATTTCTAGTGTGACCAAAAGGGCGAAACTCGAGTCTGAGCGCCGTAGGCAACAAACGAGGGTAAACCTTGGAGTTGCTTTTGAGAAGTGGAAAACTCTGAGAGAACTTCTGGGCATGAGAAAAGACCCACAGTTGGCATCATTTCTGCTTGAAAGGTAAGACATTATCTCTAAACACATGTGTTTATGCTTTCAAAGCAGCGGTGTCCGTGCATTGAAAGGCTACGTAGCGAAATACTTTTTTTTTTTGTCTACATCTAAGTTTTTATTTGTGGAAAGTGCTCAGAGTGAGAGAATGATGGGTCATTTTCTAAATACTATCTGTAATACGCATTTCTAGCAAGATCTCTGCGTCAAACTAACACACTAGCTAGCATTAGCTGGCAAAGCCCAGTGAACTGCGGTTTGTTTACAAACGGGGCGTTTTCTAGAACTACACCACCGTACGAACATTTTCCCTTTTAAATGTATGTACATTGCAATCGCAATAGTAACTAGTTAGTTGTTGAGCGTGTAGAGTCTTCGAAACATACGCGTGTTATTGTAAATGTACTTATTCTTGCAACCTCCAGAGCTTTGGTTCAGAAACCCACTGATAAGAAAGGTAGACTCTCCCAAGATGCCTGGGTAGATCTGAGAGCCCCATGGATATCCTGTCAATGTCCAATCTGCGGGAGAGGGGGTTGTGACCAAAACAGCGCTCTGTCCTGACGTCACAGAGACCAGCGCTCAAACAGTATTCCAAGCTATTGACACGGCTCCCGGTCATTTATTCACTGCCTACAGCCCCATTGCTCCACACCTCGGGATTTTGCACAGTTTATCAGTATTTTATACCACTCAAAGCATCGGCACAGCGCGCACTTGCTCTGCAGCAGCCCTCTCACCATTTGTCACCGGCAACTCCGCTCCGGGTCGCTCCGGACCATACGTAGACCGCTCAAAGCTTAGCGCTCAAAGACTATATATAGCGCTCAAAGCAAATATTAGATGCTCAAAGCAAATATTATATGCTCAAAGCATATATATGTGTGCTAAAAGCAAATATTATATGCTCACAGCATATATATGTGTGTACTCAAAGCATATATATGTGTGCTCAAAGCATATATATGTGTGCTCAAAGCATATATATGTGTGCTCAAAGCATATATATGTGTGCTCAAAGCATATATATGTGTGCTCAAAGCATATATATGTGCGCTCAAAGCATATATATGTGCGCTCAAAGCATATATATGTGCGCTCAAAGCATATATATGTGCGCTCAAAGCATATATATGTGTGCTCTAAGTATATATATGTGTGCTCAAAGCATATATATGTGTGCTCAAAGCATATATATGTGTACTCAAAGCATATATATGTGTGCTCAAAGCATATATATGTGTGCTCAAAGCATATATATGTGTGCTCAAAGCATATATATGTGTGCTAAAAGCAAATATTATATGCTCACAGCATATATATGTGTGCTCAAAGCATATATATGTGTGCTCAAAGCATATATATGTGTGCTCAAAGCATATATATGTGTGCTCAAAGCATATATATGTGTACTCAAAGCATATATATGTTTACTCAAAGCATATATATGTGTGCTCAAAGCATATATATGTGCGCTCAAAGCATATATATGTGCGCTCAAAGCATATATATGTGTGCTCAAAGCATATATATGTGTGCTCAAAGCATATATATGTGCGCTCAAAGCATATATATGTGCGCTCAAAGCATATATATGTGTGCTCAAAGCAAATATATGTGTGCTCAAAGCATATATTATATGCTCGAAGCAAATATATGTGTACTCGAAGCATATATTATATGCTCGAAGCAAATATTATATGCTCGAAGCATATATATATGTTCTCAAAGCAAATATTATATGCTCAAAACAAATATGTGTGTTCTCAAAGCATATATATGTGTGCTCGAAGCAAATATATGTGTGCTCGAAGCATATATATGTGTGCTCGAAGCAAATATTATATGCTCAAAGTTTATATATGTGTGCAAATGTGGTTTCATATTTATGCAAAATGACTCGAAGACCTTCTGGAAATGGGGCTGGTCGGCAATTGTCACCAACAGCAGGACGTTGCCTTTGTGGAAAAAGTCAGAGCAGGGACCATGAGCCATAATCCACACACACACACAATTGCCTTGTTCTACTTTTTTTTTGTTACTGCATTGACACAAATGCAGTAAAGTATACTACTGTCATGTGCAGTATACTGTAGTACTGTGATAAGTAAGTAATCTTTATTTATATACCATGTACAGCTTGTACATATACAACCTGTACAGATGTACAGTATACTGTATAGCAGGGGTGGCCAACCCGCGGCTCGTGAGCCGCATGCGGCTCTTTGGCTGGTTCCGTGCGGCTCTCGGGCTTTCACTCGACAAGCGTCAAAAACGCCTCGGTGGTGGTGCTGCCATTCATTCTCTATGTAGTTCTGACCCATAGTAAAGGCGGACTCCACTCCACTAGCCAGGCCACCAAAACAATCTGACGTCGGCGAACGTCAATTCTGATTGGTCAGATGCGCTGTCAATCACTCTTCAGCCTCAGCTGTTGCAAATATCATAACAAACAACACGTTGCCTCGACCCATGACGTCCGTACGGAAAACAATTCCTTGGTCGCTGGATGAGGGCAACACCTTCCTCAGTTTGAAGAGAGGACACCAGCGTGAGCTCGATGGTTCCACCAGAAACCAGAAGGTGTTTGTGGAGCTAGCGCTAAGGACGGAGCAGAATGATTCCCACGAACATGACAATGCAGAGAAAAGTTAAAAAGCTGACAACCGTGAAATGAAAGATCACAGCAGCAGAAGTAGAGGCAAAACCGAAAAGTCTGGAGGTGGTTTGACCAAATGGATTAAATTTACGGACATCGGCTAACACCGGCTAACATGCTAAAACCAGCTAGCACCAGCTACACCAGGAGATAAGCCAACTCTGCCTGGTGAGTGTCTGTCTTCAATCAAATGCAAAAGTATCTGGTCTTATACTGAACATGTGTCTGTGGTTCTGAATCAGCAAAAGTGGTGTTGGTGTTATGTGTCAAATCTATATCTTTTGCTAAACGCAGTCAGAGTGAATCATGGTTCGATAAAGACAGTTGTGTTTCTGCTGAATACTGGTTTGAAACTTGCTTTTTTCATTGCGGAATCATAATTGATGTTCGCTGACGTGATATTGTTCTGGTATCAACTCGCCCGGTTAGAACCAGGGCCAAACCATTAATAAAAAGTACCGGGGAGCGGTTAAAGCGAGCGGTGGAAGCGCCCGCAAACCGTCCAGCCATTTAGTACTGTACGAGTCAATTTCTGTCATTATCATGTTGATGACATTTACAATAAATCTGTCTGAGCAGCGGTGTGTGTGTGTGTGCACGCGCGTGTGTGCGTGTGTAAGGGTTGGGGTGATGTTTATGTAGTGCACATTTGTATGATGTGGCTCTTTGCTGTAACACAGCAAAAAAATTGGCTCTTAGTCTGTGACTGGTTGGCCACCCCTGCTGTATAGAGATGAGAACAAAAATAGTTCCAATGATGCTTCACATAAATCTAACTGATAAACAGAATACAAACAGTGAAAATTAAAGACTGGAGTGTTTTATATAAAGTACTGTTTGTGTTGAAGAGTTTGAGTTTTGACAATAGAGTTTAATTTTGAGACAGATGTGTTTGGTTTATGTCCCAGTGTTGTGTGTAGAGTTTAATGAGTGATTAATGATCATGAGTGATTTTTCAAACTGTTTTCAAGCAATAGGGAAAAAAATGTAATAACTGCTTAATAAAGTCTACCACTGATCCAGTCTGTTAACGTACAGCTCACAGCATCATTATGACCATTATTATTGTTGTTGTGAGTAGTAGTACTACTACTACTAATGTCTCAAGGATACCACTCTCTTTTTTCAGGGTTTCTATATCAATAAATAGATCATATCAAATATAGGCCCAACCTAAGCCAATGTAGTTTATTAAAATGTTTTAAAACTCAACACAAATCCAACAAATTAAGAGCAACTCAGTCGTCTATTATTCGGCCTAGGGTCAATTCGGCTTGGAACCTTGTGAAGCCTTCCAATCTCATGAGGATATCAATTGTTACCTAAAGCAAACATTTTAGAAAAAAAATAAAGTCAGAAAAAAACATGGCAGACAAAGTTACAGGACAATGTAACTTATGAAACATAAATGTAAACATACTTCTGGCACCATAACGTCGATGATAAAATCCACATTTCTGATTTCCAAATACAGATTCAGATTCATTTATTTCGCCATTTGCAGTAACACCACATTGGAATATATTTGTAAAAAGTTCCCAGTGTGCACAGGACAAGTACAGACACAAAACAACATTAAAAGACAAAAATAAAACAAAAGACAAAAATAAAACAAAATAGTCCATTGCCAGTGCATTTTTTACTGTTTTTATTAACTCCTCAAGCTGCAAAATAAAACAATTTCATTGAGTGGGATGATAGCATGGTAATAATCAAATACAAATGAAACATGGCATACTGGTGTTTCACAAAAAATGGAAGGTCTTCCGTTCAAAATTTGCTTTAGTGACATGTTCCTCCCTGGATTGCGCCACAGGAACATTCGGTTTGATTTTCTTTTGTTTGAATCCAGTAAGGCTTTTACATCCTGTAAGAGGGACAGACGTCATATTCAAAACATTGGTGGCATTAGATTTAATTCCACAAACCTTTATTCTTTCATGGGAAACAAGTCCAGTAATGCCGTGGTCACGCAGACAAGTCAAAGTTCTAGTGTGAGAAGGGCTTTATTCAAGCATCTTTAACAAATATGTATTTAATCTTTTTTACATATATCACATACCTTGTGAACCTGTATGGCTCGGGGAGATCACATCCACAGGTGAACAAAGACGACTTGTACTCTTCACAAATAATCGCACAATCTTTGTGTAGCCAGCCATTGCATGTTTCACACTTGACCCAGTTCTCTTTACAGACCAGTGGATACAATGCTCTGTAGGAAAAAATAAACAGTAATTTCATTCTTACATGGAATGAGAGGGGCAATAAGAACTTTGCCTGACAATGCTCATAAGCCAGCAGCATCATACTTAAACATTTTTTATGTGTGGAGCTCTACTATAGTACAGAAATGTACAGAATAAGGACAGCAGTGCTAAATGGATAAGTCCTCTAGACCGTCATGCGACCGGTTTGTTTTACCCTCCTGAAGATGTGTTGTTACAATAGGAATCCAGTTCAGTCACGACCATTATGAAGCCTTTAATGCCACATGGCAAACACATTTTGGCAATAAGCCTTCATCAGGGCATTTATCTCAAGATAAATCAGCATAGCTGCCTCTGTTGATTTAGCTGGCAGGGGTCCCATGTCTCGTAAAGATAACTTACTTTACTTGTCCCTTTCCACTTCTGTCATAAAATATACAGGCATGTATGTCTTCGGCCATGCATGGTTCACGCACTTTTGCTCCCTTTAAAATAAAAAGTAATATATTTAATTCAACTACAGCTGATTAGACTGCCATAAAGCTTGGGATCATCATCACATCAGAATGGAATTTGGGACTTGCTGATACTATGTGATTTCTTTGATTTTCATTGGTTCCATTTTTATAAATTTTCCTGAGCTCTACAGCAGCCATCTTATAAATACTTGGAAGAATATGTTACCTGATCAAGAGCATCAACAACTAGCCTGGAGGCATGGTACATTCTTAAATGACATAACTGTATTGTATTGAGAGGGTCATTGCCCATTTTGACACCACGAATATAAAGTTCTGCCGTCTGCCAAGAGTAATATACATTTATTAAAATACCTTGGATAGCAATATACTGGCTAGTATTCATCACAAAACACCTACAGTGCAAACAAAAACTCCACAGTTAACACTGTCCTTTTGTCTCCACTGAGGTGGGTAAAGGACAGCCCATTCCTCCAGATTCCACACATTAGCAAAACCTTGCCTGAAAGTGTCAAATGTTGAATTTTGGAAAACACACACACGCCAATAGCCAATTACTGTGAATAAGCATACAATAAACCTTAAGATCTGCATCTCTTGATCTGATATCCTGGTATGTTGTGCCAGTGAATCAAAGATAGAGATTTCTTTTGTAGAGCCATTAAATGCCTTTTCAGAAAAGATGATTGATTGTTAGATAACAGTTGCCTTTCAATACACAAGATGCCAAAAAGCTTTAAGAATTCACCCAGAGGATGAAATGATCTCCTGTCTCTGGGGTGGAATGGCCAACAATTCGGGGAAAAAGGACAATTGAGTCCTCCTTCAGTGTCTTTAATTGAGTAACACAATGTTAGTCACAGTTAAGAACAGGTACATAGTCAAATCCAGCCTGACCTGTATACATTTTAGATGTCGTGAGCTGATGTCTTCCCCATTTATGGAGTTTCGCCACCAAGCTGTGTAGTTGTACGTTTTCAACGCAAACACCTATGAATTCAAAGCTAAATTACTCAATGAGTTAGTTAGTAAGAAAGTAAGTAATACATCTTTATTAAAAAAGCTTCAGATTAGATGGAAACATTACGTTTTCCTTCTGTTTTGCCAACTGAAGCACCTGTGCATTTACAACCTGTAACAATAACAGTGTTATTGATAATAATAGTCACACAATTTATCTGCCAAAAGCGAAAATTACATCATCTGTAAGCCAGGGAGCACTGCAAGCATCTTCCGTTAAAAGCTCTTCGGGACAGAGACTCAAAAGATCTGCTCTGTAAACAAAAGCTTGATCCAGCTTCAAAATGGCGTAATCAGTCACAGGGCCTTTATAAATGTTCTCCAACTTTTTCTATAAAATGACATAACATTTTTATTTTTGACAATTAATTTAAGTACTATTGAATAACAAATAAAATAATTTAATGTTTATGTGCAACAGCAAAATGATAAGTGGAAATAAAAGTAGGCCTGCACCAGAAATGTTAAAAGAATATCTCTTATTGGATTTAAATAATAAAATCTGGTGTACTTCACCCACAGAATTGACATTATGTTAAAAATTCCATCTAACTCGTTCCTACGTCTCAAAACAGTTTGGCTCCAATACTAATTCAATTTGGAGAGACGAGAAACGAAAATGGTTTTGAGTATTTTATTGAGAGGTGGTTTGGCGCCCTAGGCCCCGGTGCGGCCTTCAGATCGGAGAGGCTCCTGCGATGGAGCGCGTACAATCCCCCGGGACCTAGGCACTGGTGGCGGTATTTTGGCAGCGGGAAGCAGATTGGAGGCAGATTGGAGGCAGGGTGAAGAGGAGGAGGAGGGGAGGCGGTGGTTGCGAGGCTTCGAGAGGCCGTGAAGTGGGAGTTTCTCCGCTTTTAAGCGGCTGCCTGTCCGGCACGGATGATTGGAAGGGGGCGTTTGCTGTGCGATAGGCTGGGGAAGCGAACCGGCCTGGAGGGGGTAGCTTTTGGCTGACGTCTACCTAATTGAATTTCCGCGAGCTGCATTTCAATTTGGAGAGACGAGAAACGAAAATGGTTTTGAGTATTTTATTGAGAGGTGGTTTGGCGCCCTAGGCCCCGGTGCGGCCTTCAGATCGGAGAGGCTCCTGCGATGGAGCGCGTACAATCCCCAAAAGGCTGTGTGTTGATGGAGTTTTGCAGCCTGGTTTGCAGGGGACAGACGTCGTGACTGCTCTATGCTGTGACCGCTATCGCTATGCTGTGACCGCTATCGCTATGCTGTGACCGCTATCGCTATGCTGTGACCGCTATCACTATGCTGTGACCGTTTATGCGCTAACAATTTTTTGCTATGCTGTGACCGCTAACGCCTAATGCTATGACCGCTATCACTGACGCTATGACCGCTATCACTGACGCTATGACCGCTATCACTGACGCTATGACCGCTATCACTATATGCTATGACCGCTATCGCTATATAATAATAATAATAATAATAATGCATCGGTTTTATATAGCGCTTTTTTGGACACTCAAAGACGCTTCACATGTGTCATTATTCATTCACTCCATACACGGTGGTGATAAACTACTACTGTAGCCACAGCTGCCCTGGGGCACACTGACACACCTTCCTCCTTCCTCCTCCGTCGAGCAAAGACGTGTCTTAGTCCGCTCCTGCTTCTGAACGGCTTGCTATCTCCTGTTTTTGTCTTTTTTCCTGGAGCTTTGCCACAGACAACTTTAACAGAATGGAAATGATTAATTGGTCCCTCAACGCAATTGATTCTATCTTTTCAACACGTAAGCGTGGGTCTGGAGAGCCCGTGTGTCCGGACGGGACTTCACCAGCGGGGTATACGCTTGACAGCTGGAACAAGTGGCAGCCCCTCTGTCTGTCGACCCTGTCCATTGAAGATTCGGAAGACGTATATATCTTTGGCATTTTGGTGGTGGGAATCCTCCTGTTTGGGTTTGGAGCGATCCTCTTCTACCACAAATTCGGAGGCATGGCAGTTCGCAAGATTCACGACCTGCTGGCCGATAAAATTGATGGGATGTACAAGGAGCTTAGCCGTGTCGTGGTTGAGAGTGCCGTGTCTGGACAAAGAAGAGTGGTTTTGGTGGAACAGTTGATCAAAGACCTCGCAGCTCGTTCACTTGATGGACATAAGACTTTGGAATTGAGATTGAATGACATTGTTTGTCAGGCTTGATCTCTCTGACCCGGCTTGGATTTGCCCCTGTGTACGGAGGTCTGAGGGCACCGGAATTCGGTTTAATTGGAATTAATAGAATATCTGCCTGCTTTTGACTGCGACATTGCAGGCGATGTGTTTTTCTCCTCCTGTGGCTTCTCTCCACTCTTATCTCACATTCCTCAGCCAAGGCCATAAACAAGGTCCCACAATCTACAACAACTCACACTATTTCAGTCTTCAGCAAGGATCCCCCACCCCCGCCTCCCTCTACCTATCCATCTTGCTCCCTCCCTCCCCTCCATTCCTTATTGTTTTCCTACTCACCCCCTCCCTGATCCCGCCCCCCTCTGACAGCTACATTGGGCCGGCCGAAGAGGTGCTCTTCCCGAGAAAAAAATCCGTGGTTTATAAAAAGCACAATGTGTCTATCCAATTGTCTGTGAACTGTATGTTATTGCTCTCTGCTGTTTCTTGCTGCACACAGCGCCGCAAATGGCGAAGTGGCACGCTCTCTGCCAAAACAATTTCCAAGTGATAACTTTGTTACTCACGTGGCAATAAAAATGATTCTGATTCTGATTCTGATTCTGATTCTGATTCAGAAGCGAGGCAACCAGTATGTGCCATCGGCCCCTCCGACCAACACCAACCATTCACACACACACCAGACTCATTCTAGGCAATGGGGGTGAAGTGTCTTGCCTAAGGACACAACGGCAGTTTGGCACTTTACAGCCGCAGCCGCCCCACTGTGGCTGGTGTTCCCAGAGGTTAAGTGTCTTGCCAAGGACCCAACAACAGTAGTCAGTGGGAGTCGATGGTGAAAGTCTTGAGTGGGGCTTGAACCCAGGACCTTCTGGCTCAAAGGCCAACGCTCTACCAACTGAGCTACTGCCGCCCTGTGCATAACCGCATATGCTGTGACCGTTATATGCGGTTATCTTTGAGCGCCGGGACGTGAGCGCTCGCATCACGATCAACCGGACGCTGCAGCAGAGTTATCTTTGAGCGCTGGGACGTGAGCGCTCGCATCACAATCAACCAGACGCTGCAGCAGGGTTATCTTTGCGCGCTGAGAACGTGAGCGCTCGCATCACGTTCCGTCAGACGCTGCGGCAGCGGAGAGTGTTTGAGAAAAGTGCGTGCCGCCACCAGAACTTATTGCTTCACTTACTTTGCTTCGTATTGCTTTGCTGGGAGCTTACGAGGAAGCCAGTAGACGTTGTGCAGCCAGGATAGCGGACGCGTCTGGCCTGATGTAGGCGGAGAAGGCCGAAGAGGACCAGCGCCCCAGCTGTTGCAGAGAGGTGTGGGGGAGCCCCAGCGAGGCCGCGCGCGTGGCAGCGCCTATCCTGAAGGAGTGGGCTGTATGGAGCTGGGGAGACAATTGCAGAGGACCAGTAGGGATCTTAGTTGAGCTCTGAACCAGGTTGCTGTCATGGGAAGGTTGTCTGGAGTGAGAATTAGAGGTCCGTTAAAATCTCCTTTTTGCCGCGGAGGCGAGTGTAACGCATCATGGACCTGTAGGGGCAGAGAGATGTGTCGGAGCGAGCTATTATTATGTTGCAGGCGCCTTGGTCTTTGAATGTTTGAGATGGAGGTTGAAATGGTCAGGGGACATTATGTTGGGTGAAAAAGAGCGACCTTTGTGTAATGCTTCCACTATGTCGAGATTATCACGCATGACAGAGATCCTCTTTCTCTGCCACGTGTGATTCCACGGCGCGCAGGCCACAACCACTGGGAATATCTCGTGTAGGGCAGAGGAGATGCTCCGGTGGAAGGTAGCGGCCACGGCCCGGCAACCCAATGGTCCTGGAAGAACCCCCCAAAACCCACGGAAGGGGCACGTCCGTGTAGAAGCGGAGACCTGTAGGGGCAGATACATATCTGGGCCATATAGGGCCATTGACGTTGCAGGCGCCCCTACGCTTAGAATCTTGGGTTGGATAGTAGATAATCAGGATAGTAGGATGGTCGGGAAAGCCGCGCCTGGGACCGCATGAAGGTTGAGTGAGCAGTAGTGAACGCTTATGCAGAGAAGCCATAGAAGGCGAGCAGGAAGATGCTGCGAGGAGGGCAGACATGTACTTGGAAGATGAGCCGGAGTTCGGTGCCGCTCAGAGCCGCTGCAGGATGGGCAGCGTGATGGGGAGCCTGCGATCAGAAGAGTGAAGAATACAGGTATGGATGCCTTTGATTAGGAGTCCGATTGACAGCTCAGCGCAGCTACTCGGCCAGCTGCATCTGATAGAATCAGAAGATTAAGTAGAGAGATGAAGCATGACCGCCGACGACCCTGGGAGCATAGGTGCGAGTCCAGCGCAGCGCGGCATACTCAGCCGGGCTGCGTCCATTAGAAGCAGGATAAGCTTCTGAGAGAGTGGGTTGCAGCAGTAGCAGTAGCGGCAGCAGCAGTAACCTCAGATAATAGCAGCAATAATCCTGTATCAAGCCGCGGCAGCAGCAGCGGCAGCAGCAGCAGTAGCAGCGTCCTTAGAAAATAACAGTAATAGTCCTGTATCAAAGCCACAGCAGTAGAATGTTGTTGTAGCTGTTCAGTGTCTCAGAAAAAGAGATGCAGGTGAAGAGAGATGGCAAAGTAAATGAAGCAGCAGCAGCAGTAGCAGTATGAAGCAGCAGCAGCAGCGCGGTAGCAGTAAGAAGCAGCAGCAGCAGTAGCAGCAGCAGCAGCTGCAGCATCCGTAGATAATAACAGCAATGATCCCGTATCAAAGCCACAGCAGTAGAATATTGTTGTAGCTGTTTAGTGTTTCAGTAAAAGAGATGCGAAGTGAAGAGAGATGTCAAAGTACATGAAGCAGCAGCAGCACGGCAGCAGTAGCAGTATGAAGCAGCAGCAGCAGCACAGCAGCAGTAGCAGTATGAAGCAGCAGAAGCAGCATTAGCAGGAGCAGCAGCACCACGATGCGATTCATACAAACAACAGACGTGTCACGCCAGTGTGCGCCGCTTGTCTCCGTGAGCCAGGTTACATACGTGTCTGAAAGAGCCGAGCCGTAGAGACGGGTGCAGCCTGGGAGCCTGCGGAGCGGCAGCGGCAGGAACAGCAGCAGCGGCACATGTAGTAGTAGGAGCAGCAGGAGCAGGCAACGGGGACAGACAGCAGCGGGAGCAGCAGCAGGAACGGGCAGCAGCAGGAGCGGCCGCAGGAACAGGCAGCAGCGGCGGTCAGAGAACCGTGCCCACGGTTGTTTAACAGTCTGAGGAAATAAATCAACCCGAATCCGAAACATTCCCATGCGAATAACAGACGTCCCCTGGAGCCATCTTGCTGCTTTGGTTATGGCAGATACGCATGAACGATCACTGTTCCACGCGTTCATTAGCTCCAACACCACTTCACACCCATTGCAGATTCACATTGGGGCCTTTTTCTTTCTGCTGCACTTTCAAATGCAACGACTGCAGTTTAGTTACCTAATTGAATACCAGTGACCTAGCTATTTAAATGCATGGCCCCTCCTTCCTCCCGCAGATAGACGAATTTAATACAATCATTTAACAATAGTGACCTGCGAGTAATGAGATTAATGCTGTAAATATGGCGCCGTGGCAAGAGCTCTGGTGTGTGCCGTCTGGAGCACAATGGGGTAGTCTTGCAGATTTTTTTTTTTTTTTTTTTCGACGTGGTTTTACTGCGAGTGGCAGAACATGAATTTGAATTAATGCACATTGCGCCTCTTGTATCCCCAGACGATAGAGATTGATGCCATTTAACATGCATTGCCCCTCAGTTAGCTCAAACACGTGTGAAAACGGAGCCTGCAGACCAAGCACGGGGCGAAAAAACTGACGCCTGCAGTCCAGTGCGCGGGGCAAAAACCAATCGCCTGCAGCCCAAAACTCCGGGATTAATCCGTCCGCGGTCGGCACACTCACTGTACTCACATGCCAGGAGACTTGGGAAAAGCAACGGGACAACGCGGCACCGCCAATCGAGGCAGGGACACGCATGGCACCGCCAGACCTTCTGCGTGCGGCAGCAGACCACGAGGAACGAGCAGCACAGAACCCGCGGAGGGCCCCGCGGAGCAGCCCGCAGAAAGAGCCCGCAGAGGAGGAGAGCAGTGGAGACATGCGAACCACAGCAGGTGCAGGGACGCGGAGGAGGAGCAGACCACAAGCAGCCAGACGGAGGACGCCAGGGTCGCGCCGAGTAGCGTGAGTAGACGAAAACGATTCCTCCAGACGATTCTCTGCAAGGCTTCGAGTGCTTGCGAAGCTTCGAGAGGCCGTGAAGTGGGAGTTTCTCCGCTTTTAAGCGGCTGCCTGTCCGGCACGGATGATTGGAAGGGGGCGTTTGCTGTGCGATAGGCTGGGGAAGCGAACCGGCCTGGAGGGGGTTGCTTTTGGCTGACGTCTACCTAATTGAATTTCCGCGAGCTGCATTTTTCACATAAGGTCTTTTCGGCCTCATAAACTTTCAGCCCAAAGCCTCAAATTGTGAATAAGCTATAACTGAATACATTTATCTATAGCAAATTAAACATCACCTGAAGTGTAGGGTCTATCGGGAAAAGACTCAAAGAGAACCCATTTCTTTGTTCTCTTTGCTCTGTCCGTACATCCATCTTCTCCATTGTAAAGGCTGGCAATGGTTCTGAAAAATATGGATTAGCTCAAGTCAAATCAGAAATTAAGTGCCACAATAACAGAAATGTTCATTCACATGAAATTTACCCAGACTTCCCAGCACAAGTTGCCCGTCTTGATTTATGTGGAGGCTTTCTTCAGTTTGGCTTTCCATCTTTTCCTTAATTTTTTTGTCTTCATTGTGTAGATGAAAAACCAGTCTCAAGCAAAAGAGAAAATGTTCCTCCTTCATTTGGCATAAAAAATACCGGTCATTTGAAAGTTCTCTGTTTTTCTGCTCTGCTTGTGAGGAGTTTAACACACTAGCCAATTCCGGGACAATCTTCAGGCTTCTCAGAATTTCCTCTTCACGTGTTTGATTTTTCTGATGGAAAGTATCATATAATGCATTGTCACTGGATGTGGTGCAATGAATCTTGTGTCTTCTCCAATGTCAAAGTGCTCTCTGTTTCTCCTCTTGAAGACAATGTTTTTTACCCAGGGGAGGTCAATGTCTATTTTATTTTCTTTTGCAGCTTTAATGTTTGCATCTGAAGATGCACAAAGTCTTCCGTCATGTGGCTGAAAGCATTGTTGTCCTGTTCTGTTGTTGGTGTGCCTTGCCACTCGACCTGCTACATCAGAAATGTATATTGTTGGAAGATAGGCAAAGCTTAAAATTCCATCTGCATGGTCCCGTGCACTTTCCGTCCACAATAATGGAGAAAAATAGTATGTCACAGCATGTGTACACCCCATGTGTAAGACACCACCTGTGTGGAAATGAATTGTAATTAGTAAGAAAACTTCTATGTCTTCCAATTTAGTCAGATTGATCAAGAATTAATGCACAGTTTACAAAGTTTGAATAAAAATTTAACAACATTTACCTCCTGTCTTCTGAAGTTTAAGAAACATTTTGGGATAAATGTCCTTGTAGAGCAGCATTTCCTCCAAACGATTTATCAAATCAACTTCCGATCCCTCAGAAGAAAGGCCCAGGTCAGAGCAGGCTTTAATTAATTCGCTCTTCTTTACCTGGTTTCATAATAAAACTAAAGTTAGAAATTATCCCTGCATGTGAAACTGCCTAAAATAACATGGTACCTTCTTAGACTCCAGCAAAGAAAGTATTTGGTCCTCATTAACACTGGTGCACTTGGATCCTTCTTCATTAGTCTTCCCGCCAACACCTTTCAGCATTTCAGTGTGTGGGATGACATTGCCACATCTTGTTTGTGGACCAATCCATGGATAGAAAATGGACAGAGTATCCTGACAGAACGGATTAGGGGCTCTCAACTCTAAACAGTAAATTATGTTTTATTGAGGTAGATCACATTGTATTTGTGTAATACATTATTTTGCTGTAATTTCACATGTTGGCTACAGGCATTTCAGTACAAATATACAACAAACCTTCACATATTCCTTCTGCAATTATTTGTTTCTCCCACTTCTCTTTAATGTCAACAGACAGTTCTTCTTGTGATGGAGTTTTTGTTGGCCTCTTCAGCATACTCATTAAAAGATTTAATGAACATAATAACATGATGCATAACAAGGTGAACACAATTTATGAGTTGAGGGGAAAAGCTACAGTCTGATGGATACAAATGATATCTTATTAGATTATAACTAGTTATTAGTAATTAGCATCATTAATTGTATAGAGAAGGCACATGATTACCGATTGTATTTGGTACTTCATTTTCTAAACAATTATGACATACCAGGTAGATCAACCGACAACTTCCAGTTGGCATCAGACATTACAATCGGGGGATGATGTCCACATCTGTAACAGCTAAAATCATACGAGTAGGCCACCAAAGCAGAAAAATGCAGCCAGCGAAAATTCAATTTGGTAGACGTTAACCAAAATTACCCCCTCCAGGCCGGCTCGCATCCCCAGCCTATCGCTCAGCAGACGCCCCCTTCCAATCATCTGTACCGACTACGCCAGCCGCATAAAAACGGAGAAACTCCCACTCTCGGCCTCTGAAGCCTTGCAGTGTATGCTAGCTAAACGCGCCTGTACACCATGCAATCTTCTACAACCGTCCGCGCGCCCGCGTCTCCTGACGACTCGGCGCCTGACTCCCCTTCCATCCTCCTCCACAACATCTCGCCTATGGCCCCCAGCCCTCGTAAGAGCGTGCGTCTGGCTTCCAGGGACCCAGGGTCGGTGCGCGCCTACCTCGCAGCGCGGGGTGTCGTGCCCGGCCCCGACGCTACGTCTCTCCAGCTCCAGAGCCTCTTCGACCAGCTGTCAGCGGGCTCTACCTCGCCCCTCCGGGACTTGGTTCCCCCTCCCCGCAAACGTCAATCCAAGACGAAGCACACTCAGGCGAAGCGCGCCTGCCTCCCGCGGCCTCCTCTCGCGGCCTCCTCTCGCGGATTCCGGGCCTTCCCCTGGATCCTCGGGCTCTTCTGCTGCGGCCTCCCGGGCTCCTCCACGCGCTCGTAGGCCCCGCTCCGCTGGCGCACCTACGGCGGTCCCGGCGTCTTCTCGGGTCGTTCCTCCCGTGGCTGCCCCCCTGGCAGGTCCCGAGGACGCCCCCACTGCGGCCCAGGATCGCGCTCTTTCCTGCGCGCGCACGGACGCTATTCTGTCCGCTGTCTCCTCTCTCCAGCGCACGGTGGCTTCGGTGTCCACGCGGCTTCGTGCCGTCGAGCACCAGGCTCCCGCCGCTGTCCCGGCGGCTTTTCCTGCCATTGTCCCGGTGCCCTCTTCCACGGTGGCGTTCCCCGTGGACTCTCTCGAGGCCGGCTTCTCCCTCGGCACCGCTGTCTCCGCTCCAGCGTCTGGTAGGCCCTACATGCATGCATTTTCCAACGTGTCTCCGCGCCTCCGTTCCAAGATTCTTCTGGGGCGCTATGTCAATCTGGTCTCCCTTATTCTTCCCTCTCCCGAGTGTGACCGGCAGGTGGCCGCTTCGGACCTCATCACCGCGGTCGTGAAGACTGCGTATCCCCGGTTGTCCCGTGAGCTGAACATTGGGGAATTCCTCGTCGCCTTCGGGGTCTACCGCGATGTTATATGCTCCGTGTACCCTGAGCGGAGGCCTGAGCTGGACTTCTATCTAAGCCTGATGGGGGACCGGTCCCTCCGGTACGGAGGCAGCATTTTTTACCGTTATCACAGAGCCTTCGCTGCCAAGGCCGCGGCCCTTATCACCCAGGCGAACTTCCGAGTGGACTGGGCGGCCTTGGACACCGAGGTGCTGCTCCTGTCCATCGGCGGCACCCCCGCTGTTTCTTGCTCCCGGTGCGGCGCTTCGGGACACACGTCCCCCCTCTGCCCGGGCATCCCCTTCGGACACGGTGGGGGCGAGACGTCCAGACCTCAAGGGCCGACTTCCCGTGCGCTCGGGGCTGGCCCCCCCCACGTATGTAATAAATTCAACATGAGCGTGTGCTCCTATAATCCGTGCTCTTACCTCCATGTGTGCAGTGTGTGCAGGGAGGCCCACCCACGCTTTCTGTGTCCGCGGCGCGGCCCGCAAGGCCGCTTCGAGGGGCCTTCTTCCAGGCGCTGATCAGGGCCCACCTCTCGACCCCGGTCTCCGTGCACGGGCTCGCCCGCGCGCTCGAGCTCCATCCCGACCGGGTTTTCGTTCAATTCCTCCTGTCTGGTCTGGCCCACGGCTTTCTCGTGGGTGTCGAGGCCCTCCCCGCGGCGTCTCTCGTGTCCCGCAACCTCCTCTCAGCTTCCCGTGAGCCCCAGGTCGTTACGCGGCTTCTGGCACGAGAGGTGTCCCTGGGCTACGTCATCGGCCCTTTTTCCAGGCCCCCCTTCCCTCTGTTCCGTTCCAACCCGTTAGGCATCGCCACCCGTAAATACTCTGGGACGAAGCGTCTTATTTTCGACCTCTCCTGTCCCCTCTCCGGGCCCACCCCAAGCATCAATAGTCTCATCCCTCTGGCACCTTTCTCCCTGCAGTACGCTACCGTGGACCATGCGATCAGGCTTATAAAGACTTTCGGCCCCGGCTCCTGGCTTTCCAAGGCCGATATCACGGACGCGTTCAAGCTGCTGCCTATCCACCCAGACCACTGGCACCTGTTCGGAGTAAAGTGGCGTTCAGAGTTTTTCTTTGCCGTGCGCCTCACTTTTGGCTGCCGGAGTAGTCCCTCTCTATTTAATAATCTTGCGGAGGCGCTGTGCTGGATCCTGCTAAATTATGTACGGCTCCCCTCCGTCCTGCATCTCCTCGATGACTTTCTTGTGGTAGACCCACCCTCGGACGGCTCCGGGAGCTCTCTCCGCAAACTCAAGCTCGCTTTCTCCGCCCTGGGAGTCCCCCTCTCCGAGGAGAAGACCACAGGCCCCGCCACCGCTCTAGAGTTTCTCGGCATCCGCCTCGACACGCGCGCCATGGTGGCCTCCCTCCCGCGGGACAAACTCGAGCGCATCCGCGCTATCTCCCGGTCTGCCCTGTCATCCCTGTCACTTTCGAAGCGTCAGTTGCTCTCCCTCCTCGGGCATCTCAATTACGCCATCCGCATAATTCCTCAAGGTCGCTCCTTCATCTCCAGACTCCTCTCCCTCGCCGGCTCCGTCTCCTCCCTCAACGACGCGGTCTGCCTGGACGCGGGGTGCCGCTCCGACCTGGCGTTCTGGTCCCGCCTGCTGAGCCGCTGGAATGGCGTCTCCTTTTTCTACAGCGACGTCGTCCTATCCTCGGACGCCCTGCGGTTCTTCACAGACGCAGCCCCGTCCGTGGGTTTTGGGGGATTCTTTCAGGACCAGTGGTTCGCCGGGCCCTGGCCCGACGCCTTCCCTCAAAACATCTCCTCCGCGCTCCACGAGATATATCCCGTGACCGTAGCCTGCGCGCTGTGGAGCCATTCGTGGCAGAGGAAAAGGATTTCCGTGATGTGCGACAACCTCGACGTTGTCGAAATAATCAACAGAGGTCGTTCATCCTCTCCCCAAATCATGACTTTTCTTAGACGTATCACATGGCTCTCAGTCCTGAACAATTTTATTATCACTGCTCGTCACGTCCCTGGTCACCTTAATTGTCTCGCTGATTCTCTCTCTCGTTTCAAATTCCAGGAGTTCCAACGCCTCTGCCCTTCTGCCAACCCATCGCCATGCCAGATCCCCTGCATGGAATCCCTCGCCCTGGACTAGTCCCTCCGTCTCTTCACCTCCTCATCTCCTCCGCTGCATCCTACATGAAGATGGGCCTCTCACCTTCCACACTGAAATCCTACAGCTTCGCTTGGACAGTCTACTCCAGCTTCTGTCACGCCCACTGCATTCCACTCATTCCGCCCTCTGCTGTCACCGTCTGCGCCTTCATAGTTCACTGCGCGGATAATCTCCATTATAAAATCACATACATTCGCGCCCTACTCGCCGGGATACAATTCCAGGCCCGCTGTCACAACCCCGCTTTCTCCTCTCTTTTTTCCGATCCGTCAATCAAACTAGTCATCGAAGGCATTCACAATTGCTCCCCGCATTCCTCGGACCACAGGCGCCCCATCACACTGTCCATCCTCCACCAGCTCTGCGCCGCACTCAGCTCCCAGCTCGCTCTCAAAGTACGCCATCGCCCTCCTGTCCAGGGCGATGGCGTCTTCCTCCTCGCTTTTTACGGCTTCCTACGCATAAGCGAATTCACTAACCCCCACGCCACCTTTAATGCAGCCCAAGACATTGCCTTCTCCGACCTGTCTTATTACCCCGACTACTTCAACCTCCACCTCAAGCATTCCAAACGCAAAGGCGCTTGCAATATAGTCATAGCTCGGTCTGACACTTCTCCCTGTCCCTACAGATCCATGATGCATTACACTCGCCTCCGCTCTCGGAAAGGAGATCTCAACGGACCGTTATTTCTCACCCCCGATCACCTCCCAATGACATCTAACTGGTTCAGAGCCCAACTAAAGTCCGTACTGCTGCTTTGTAACCTGTCTCCCCATCTCTACACAGCTCACTCCTTCCGGATAGGCGCCGCCACGCGCGCCGCGTCCCTAGGACTCCCCCATTCTGCCCTCCAGCAGCTAGGCCGCTGGTCATCATCGGCCCTCTCCTCATACATCAGGCCTGACACCTCGACCATTCTGACAGCCCAGCGCCTCTTGGCATCGCCATAAATCACTCACAAAACTTCCTGGTGGCGGCAGCAGCCGAGTATCCGCAAGTATTGATCACAGTAGATAGCGGTCACAGCATATAGCGATAGCGGTCACAGCATATAGCGATAGCGGTCACAGAAAATAGCGATAGCGGTCACAGCATATAGCGATAGCGGTCACAGCATAGCAAAAAATGGTTAGCGGTCACAGCATAGCAAAAATGGTTAGCGGTCACAGCATATAGCAAAAAATGGTTAGCAGCATTGTGCTGGCGGTCACAAAAAGGTATAGCGATAGCGGTCACAGCATATAGCGATAGCGGTCACAGCATATAGCGATAGCGGTCACAGCGAATAGCGATAGCGGTCACAGGCATATAGCGATAGCGGTCACAGCATATAGCGATAGCGGTCACAGATAGAGCAACGACGTCTGTCCCCTCCAAACCAGGCTTCGAAAACTCCATCAACACGCAGCCTTTTTGGGGATTGTGCGCGCTCCATCGCAGGAGCCTTTCCGATCTGAAGGCCGCACCGGGACCTAGGGCGCCAAACCTCCTTTAAATAAAATACTCAAAACTTCCTGTTTCTCGTCTCTCCAAATTGAAATGCAGCCAGCGAAAATTCAATTTGGTAGACGTTAACCAAAATTACGACCCCTCCATCGACGCCGGCCGCTCGCAACCCCAGCCTATCGCTCACCAGACGCCCCCTTCCAATCATCTGTACCGACTAGTCCGGGCCAGCCGCAGGAGCCTTAAAAACGGAGAAACTCCCACTCTCGGCCTCAATGAAATGAAGCCTTGCAACCACGCCCGCCTACCCCTCCAGTATTAAATCTTTTAAAAGGCAGTGTTCATTAAAATATTTAATTTAATTTAATACCTTGAGTAGATTGGTCATGAACGAGCACAACTGTATCGTAAGGAATATTTTGTTATTGTAGTTGTGGAAGCCAGATGTATAGTCTTGGAACCTTACACGCATTTGGCACACAGGACATTCTTTGTAATAGACGTGGACACCTGCAACATAGATATTGTACAGGTTAAATTTGATAATTCAAATGATCATACGATGACAAAAACACAACTAACCTTTGTTTATTGTAAGGATGCCATAGATAGTGCCATGTTTTGTAAAGATTTTTTCATTCAACTTTGGTGGCGTAGGTCCTGGGCAGTATCGGCAATTGCTTTCTTCAGGTGATAATTTTTGTGGTGTTTCTGGCACTGACAAATGAAAATCTTCTGATAAACAAGAGGGAATTTTTTTCTCTGACCACAAGTACTCCACTATTTTCTTTATGAGAGATGAATCTATTTGTATGGGATGGTCCAGGTCATCAGTTTCACTGTTGATGTCATCATCA